CGATCACGTGACGGTCAAAGTAGGATCACGTCTCGCAAATAAAGGACTACGACTTTTCCGACCGTATCAGATACGATTTATCAAAAACTTAAAGAGACCGCCACGAAATATGTCATAATTCTTTATTTTAATAAGAAAAAAGAAAAAAACAAGAAAAGAAAAAAACAAAAACAAAAAAAAAACAAAAACGTGCGAGTGTGTAGAGAGCACATCTCGACAATACCTGTGCTCGGCAGACACGGGGTCATACTTCATTATTCCATCTCTAATGGTATAATTTACATGATAAACCTGCATTTCGTTCACTGTTGATTAATTTATTGATGTTACCATCAATATTTCTATTAAAAGTTCGATTGCGCCCAAGATCCTGCATAGATAATGTGTCGATCTAATCTTACGTCAACTCTCTAATAAGAAGGAAATATTAAATGTAAAACGTTTTTGAAATTAGTCGTCTGAGGCGTAACTCCGATTACACTTCCCTGTCGAAAACGTGAAAAAGCTGTACTTCGCTTCCAAATCAAGTTACGGTTTATTCAATTAATTTTATGATTTTATTACAACGCTTCGGTTAACTCCCACTCACAGCTCTTAGCTCATTTGAAAAAGACACTAAAATCGTGAGGCAGCAGGCACATGGAACAAGGCCATATATGGGCGTTAAAAAAAAAAAACGTGACAGATAAATGCTATGTAGTAGACAAAACTAAATAACTCACAGATGTCAATCAAATTAAGACGAATTAACGTATCGTAAAATCTCCAACAACTCTTATAGTGATTATTTCTTCACTTCCTCATACTGCCCTGATGCTCCCTTGGGTCGTCAGTCCTGACACAGACAGGCTTAAATCGGGCCCTTGACTTTGCGTATGACAAAGACGAGAATCACTAAACACTATGGCTCTTTTTTTAAGTATTTGTTTTTCTGTGTGTGTGGACGATTCATTAGCATGATATAACTTGCAAATTAGCAAATTAGGCTAGCTGAAATAAATCTTTGAAAATTAAAAAAAATGTGAAGTCATCACATCTTGAATGGAGAGGAAAAAAACCAAGCCTGTGATCAATTTACAAATATTCTCTGCGTCTCGTATCAGACTCAGAAAATTAGTTTTATTTTTGTATCTTTCGCTAACTTAGTTTTTACTCATAAAATACACGGCCGGTAACCTTCAAGCTTGATGCTTTATAGGGTTAGCGTATTTGATTAACAATTACGGTGTTTGTGATGATTAATGATGATATTTTTTTGGGTCGAAATTCTTTCTTTTCGTTCATAAGCTGAACAAAAGAAGCGAGCCGGCAAGGGCGAAACTGAGTCATACATTTTTTTCTGCTATACATACATTGTACCTATTAATGGCTTAGCTTCCTTCCGGGTTCTTTGTAGATCAATGGTTGAGCATCCAAACGGGAAATCGGAAGGTTGAATGATCGATTCTCTAAATTGGAAATTCAGAAGCTTTCTTTGTCTTGCGCTCGGATGACATCATTTTCCAAGACTTGCTTCTTGAGGAGCAAGGCAAAGATGAGGGGGGGGAGGAGGGAGAGGGTGATTTTTTTTTTACTCCACGTTCTGGTACACGTGTGCAAAGCTGCAACTGCTCAAAAATATAAAATCTGGCACCGTTTTAATCATTTTTATCGATGAATAACTTAACAGATATTACACACACAGAAATATGTGTTTATTTGAGAAGCTCAGATGTCTTCGGACAGAACTAAGGAAAGCGATACTTAGGCCCAAAGCGAAAAGAAAAAACGTTTCCATAGTTATTTTCATCAACAGATCTAGGAATTTTATATGCTGGTCAGCGGTGAAACGCGTTACATTGACCTCTTACCCAGACCATCGCCGTTCATGTAAGCACGGACTCAATTTTAAACCTCGTATTTCCGTCGTTATAAGGCCACGAACGGGTGCTTTTCTTGTCCTAAAATACGATCATTGTGGTGTCGATACCTTTTAAAAGAATAAGCTGTAATGACATAGCTACGGATAAGTATATATTTTTTCATTTGAGGCGGCGCTTTCTTATTATTTGCAAGTTAACAGCTCGTTTATCATTTGTATGCAACTGTATTTGCATTTTCCGGTTTTATACGTCAGCAACCCGTGCGTCTGGCGGGCGTAACAGAATGAGTTAATGTCTGGTTTTGCATGCCCTGGAGAACGACTAATCACGTTTTTGTTACATAAACGCAAAAGACGAGATCCTTCATTCCTCTAGAAATTCTAACGCATTCTTAGCGTCTCGTCTTAAGCTATGAGTCTCTGCCAGCTATATTTTTCATCTCATCTTAAGGGACATCACTGAAAAATAATTCGTTAACCACGTCGAACGTGATGGATTGCCGAAGCATGAAAATCAGTCTTGCATAGCGCACGCTAGGATCACGAGAAAATAACTCTTGCACGCTGCCTAGTAATGATATACCAGCCGGGAGGGCTCCTGCATGTATTCAATACTGGAAATAAAATCGTTAGTTACAGGTTCCAGTCGTCTCACTGTATATGTATTATATATTTCTTGACTCTATTTCCTTTTAAGCGCTTTTATCTTTCATTTGTTGAGATTCTTTACTGAAACTCTCGTCAGGATCTCTCGAGGTTAATTTTGGCTTTCACTGCTTATGTATCCTGGCAACATGTACGTGCTGGCATCAAGATTATTGAACAAGAAAACAAATAGGTCCATGAAAAGCGTGGGATTCATATATGTAAGACCTAAATATAGAAAGAGAACCCTTTTGACCTGGTTGGGTTTTCGCGCAACTTTCTACACCCATTAGCTGGAAAAGTAAGCTTTTTCTCAACCTACAAGAAAATTAGCTTCCTACTTTACAAGGACCGTGTTCAAGACTGGTGCCGTTCGTTGTATCAGTTGCCGTAAGAAATGAACCTGTACATCAGAAAATTGTTGATCACGTACCAATTCAATACAGAAACCCCTTCAGACGTAATACCAAACATAAACATGCATGAAAAATTGAGCGGCATGAAAGGTAACCTAATTCTATCTATATATTGCTTGTTGCAGAGTTTGAGCGAGGCTGTGGACGAAGCCCTGACAATTTGAGTCTCTGCAAAGAAAGACAGAAAGGTAGGGCAGTGCAACAAAATAAAGCAACATTTCAATTATCATTGGAATCTCGTAAAGTTTTAGTCGAGTAGCTACGGAAAACGATTAGCTAAGGAAAAAAACCTTCAAGTAATATGGCTCTTGATATTGTGGTAATATTCCAATCTTTTAATACTAATATCCAATCTTTTAATCTTGCGGCTGCGTGTTTAGGCTTGCTGTATACTCATGAAATCCAAGATTAAATTTATTGTCGTCAGAACGCTGTCGGCCATTTTTCAATGGGTTCTGGCTATTGCCGGCGTTTATCACCAGCGTAAGTAGTATGGCACAACCATTGAAATTGGCGAAGGTCTAACGCTCGAAACGTCAGCCGTAGAAAATCTCAATGCGTACGGCGGCAAATTTACATTGTCAACCCATTTCATAAAACCAAATTTTCTGTTTAATTCTACTTTAAGTCGTTTCATAGAATTAAAATCGTTCGTAACCTGTTGTTTGTTATTTACAACTTTTTTATGTTTAATTCTCTGTTTAAATTTTTTTCGCCGGTCTAAAAATACTTTATTTTGGAGAGCCTTTTACAGGCTGGTTTAACACGTAGGCACACATTTAGGCTTGTTACCCACTCCTCCCTCACAGTTGTTTGCGTGAGAGGAATGCTATATTTAGGCCGGAAAAAAACGCAACGTCATCAGATAAAAGAGAAACATTACAGGTTTCCCTTGACCCTATTTTTTCAGTCATTTACTCCCACCTAGCTCGAATCCCTGCTAACTCAAAAGGGATTTTATTTCGCAATTTCTATCGTTCGATTCTAGGTCGGGCACCATCAATAAATTGTCGGCGCTGACAATTCCTTACCTGGCGGGGCTCTGAGGTGCAATTTGTTTAGCGCGAAGCAAACTATAGCGAGATACTCATAATCTGAATACAACTTAAATTTTATGAAAAAAAAGATACCATTAAAAATTCAATTAGAAACTAATAGGATATTTTTTAATGTTTCAGAATTTGTTATAATAGTGGGCTGTCAGACTAAAACCTATCACACGACGATGGAAGAAGGATTTCCACTATTCCTTTTTTCCCTTTTGTCGTTGCTTTTGCGTAAGTATTGTATTACAACTTTCTTCGTTTATCATGTGTTTGTGAGGTCCCTGGGTTGTACCTATCTATTTAATTTCATGGTCTATGCTTTACAGCGGACAATAAGCTACAATGCTAATCAAAAGGCAACCTTCAGGTCATATATTGCGGAGTCATCGAGGATGAACATATGAGCACATAAAAATATCACAGCACTGCAAAAATCGCTCATAAACTTTAGGGTGAAGATTCCCAAAGGGAGGAAGAGGCTTTACCGGTTTAAAGGCAGCAAGAGTTTCAAGGAATGTGCTAAAGAGACAGAAATCCGTGCTTATAAATAGTTTATTGTTACTTTGAAGAGGCGCCTCTATCTAAAACAGGTGTCGGCTTGACCACATCAGTCAAGAATAATACCCATTGTTAGAACACAATAATCCTTTTGCCATTAGCTCTTTTTCTGGCGTCAAAAAAATACTGAAAGGTATTTTTTAACTCGCAGACGTAAACCTTCAGGCCAATTCTTCATGCCAACCGGATCAGATAACAATCAAAGATCCAAAAACTGGTTCGATTCAGTGCCAGGACTGTTTAAAATGTCCACCCGGCGAGGGTCTCTCAGTCAATTGCGGAGACGTAATACCCCCTTCGACACCTGTGCAATGCAAGCCATGTGTGCTAGGAAAGACATATTCTGCTTTCCTCGAGGCCGGAGGTTGCGAGGACTGTAGAAATTGCGGTGAGTACCGCGAAACTACGAAAGCCTGTACAGTGACTTCCAAGGCCGAATGTGGAAGGTGTAAGCCTGGGGCGTATGCCGAAGGCATGCTGGGACTGTGCAAGCCCTGTTCTCCGTGCTGTTATGATGGTAAAGATATAATTATACCTGAGTGTCAAGTTCCAGGTGTACCAACAGGCCTGCAGTGCAGCTACTTACGATCTAACAAGTGCAGTACATTGATGACATCAAGTATTAGCACGGCGCCGTCAACCCCTCAACTAGATCAGTCCACGACCCAATGGCGGCCATTCTCTTCTACAACGGGCACCGAAATAATCTCTCTTTCAAGTGAGCCAACCACCAACATGGTTGAAGAGAACTCACCAAATGTGGGCAGCATAGTTGGTCCTGTTGTGAGCAGCTTCACAGCTTTCGTCACGATCCTCGTCATCGTGTGCTGCAAAAATATGCGTAAGCGCCGGTCTCACCAATGTTGTCACCAAGGCAACCACTGTCACGATGATCAAGGTCAACGATGCAAGGTCACTACGGTTTGACGACAGTCATCAGCTCCTATAAATTATCTAATAACCTGATAAGTTTTGCCCTGTAATTTTTTTTTTGTACAGTGACAGAGAAATCGGGACATTTTCGCTACTTAAGTGGTTTCTAATCGTCTTAAAACGTCTGCAAGCCCCGATTCATTCTCGTTCTAAGATTTTCTGTTCTCTTGATTAAGATTGACCACACTTCCGTAAGATCGTCAGCTTTTAGCATTTTGGGTGGGTGAAGGGAGGGAGGACGCCTTCAGCACACAGTCCCCCCCAATGTTGTAACCAGGAAGACCACTGTCACGATGTTCAAAGACACCGATGAGGAGGTCACTACGGTTTGACGACAGTCATCAGCTCCTTTGAATGCAATTTTCCGTTAAGTTATGCTCAGTAGTTTTTTGAGTCAGTGACAGAGAAATTTATTGTTTGACAAATTCTCCTTTAAAGTAGCATATGAAATGTGTAGGAAACAGTATGGAGAACTTGCATGCAAATCTTCGGGTATAAAGGTTAAGCACCTTATCATTATATTTCATCCCAACTCGGCGCTTAGTTTTTATGCGGATCAGTATCTATTTGTGATATGATAGGATGAAGCCTTACATTTTGAATTTGTTATTAAGAATTTATGTTATTAATCTTTCCCTATTTTGGCCATTCCGTCATTGATCTTTGGTTTAAACTGACTAGCGTGGTCTGCGATAGGAAATGGCTATTTAAGAGGTTCTTTACTTTATTTGCATAATAAGAGCAGCCATTGAGTGCTTTTATTCGCTAACCTCCCTTACGTAAACAGCCTCCATTACCTTCGACGCCGTTCTCTCCGAAGCCATTTACGTTTTGGGCTACTGAGGAGTGTGTAAAGCTTTCACAACATGTTGCAGAGCCCAGATCTCTTAGATTCATTCACCGTCGTGCGTGTTCAAGGAAGTTGTCAATCATGTTATCGTTATTTTTGGAACGAGGGTTGTTTCTGTCGTTATCAAACCAAATAAAAGCTTTTCGGTAGAGTTATTTTGTGTCCGTTTTTACTAGACCAATTATTCAACTCAGGCTTGTCGAATATGATATTATACGAGAGATTGCAAACTGAAAGTACTTACCCTTATACACACCCCTACTCCAATGATAATTTTTTGCCCTTGTACATGACCGACCAATCCTCTGCTTATCGTTTGACGTAAGCCGCGGGTATCGTGTTCCTATCGCGTGGCCAGATTAGTCAGATAAATCGTCGAGAAGACTTCTGTAACTACAAACACCCGGTAATCAATCCTGAGCTTGCAATAGGAGGCTGTTTATAAGGTATTCGTGTATACAATTGTTTTTGTTGGTTGTTTTTTCCTGTATGTTTCGGGGTATTTGGTACGATGACGGTTTAAGGTTATCAATAATTCCAGCCTGAATTTTACCTGCATATATCTAGACGACAACGTCGCATTTACATTCACTGAGCATGGAAATTTATGGTTTCTGAGCGTTATCAATCAGACTGAAAACGTAAACGAAACTTAGAAGCTGCCGGGCTGGACTGCATTTAAAACTAACTTAACAATGACGAAGCTAAAAACAAACACAACTATCGGGCTGACATGGAAATTATCTTGATCTTTAGAGTGACTTCCGGCCGGGCGAGATCCACCGTTCAATTCTATTAGTTTTATTCTTCACTTTCTCCAATTTAGTGAAATGATTCGTGATTATTTTTTTACTTACATATTAAATTCTTATTCTCTGAAGGAAGCCAAGGTCACAACCGCTCGTCAAAAGCTTACTTCGCAATATTTTCACTTGTTTTCAGTCGTGTAATTTCTTGACCGCTTAGGTTTCATCATGAGATCCTTTTACACGCGATGAGGTCTAATCTTAAGAATACTTCAGTTATTTCATTCAAGATGTTAACACACGAAAAGAGAGATATTGTTTCGACATCTAAGACGTCATGTGAGTGAACACAAAAAACCAGGAAAATGACACATAATTAGTTTCTTTGATATATATTTACCGAACGTTCGGTTAAACTGTCAATTTTTGGTTCCAATATGTAATCGAAACACCCCTAAAAGTTTGTACGTTAAATGCTCTACAATAATCGTAATGTTTATTCGTTGCTTTACGCACGATGAGTAACAGTCTTTAGAATAATCAGAAGTTTAACTGTTCCGTTATTTTAAAAGGTTTCAAAACAAATTTTCGAACGATCACGTGACGATCAAAGTAGGATCACGTCTCACAAATAAGGGACTTCGACTTTTCCGACCGTATCAGTTACGATTTATCAAAAACTTAAAGAGACCGCCACGAAATATGTCATAATTCTTCATTTCATAGAAAAAGAAGAAAAACAAAAACATGTGCGAGTGTGTAGAGAGCACATCTCGACAATACCTGTGCAGACACGGGGTCATATTTCATTATTCCATCCCTAATGGTATAATCAGTACATGATAAACCTGCGCTGCTTTCACTGTTGATTAATTTATTGATGTTACCATCAATATTTCTATTAAAAGTTCGATTGCGCCCAAGATCCTGCATAGATATTGTGTCCTTCTAATCTTACGTCAACTCTCTAATAAGAAGGAAGTATTAAATGTAAAACGTTTTAGAAATTAGTCGTCTGAGGCGTAACTCCGGCCACACTTCCCTCTGTCGAAAACGTGAAAAAGCTGTACTACGCTTCCTAATCAAGTTACGGTTTATTCAATTGATTTTATGATTCTATTACAATGTTTCGGTTAACTCCCTCTCACAGCTCTTAGCTTATTTGAAAAAAAAAAACGCTAAAAACGTAAGGCAGTAAGCACGTGGAACAAGGCCATATATGGGCGTTAAGAAAAAATAAAATGTGACACATAAATGCTATATAGTAGACAAATCACTCACAAATGTCAATCAAATTAAGACGAATTAACGTATCGTAAAAGCTCCAACAACTCTTATAGTGATTATTTCTTCACTTATACTGCGCTGATGCTCCCTTGGGTTGTCAATCCTGACACAGACAGGCTTTAATTAGGCCCTTGAATTTGCGTATGACAAAACGAGAATCACTAAATTAAACATTGTAGCTCTTTTTTTAAGTATTTGTTTTTCTGTGTGTGTGTGTGTGGAGGTTTATTTGCATGTTATAACATGCAAATTAGCAAATTAGGCTAGCTGAAATAACTCTTCGAAAATTAAAAAAAAAGTGAAGTCATTACGCCTTGAATGGAGAGGAAAAAACCAAGCCTGCGATCATTTTAAAAGTTTTCTCTGCGTCTCGTATCGGACTCAGAAAATAAGTTTTATTTTAACTTCCTTTTTCCTTATTAAATACACGGCCGATAACCTTAAGGCTTGATGCCTTATAGGATTAGCGTATTTGATTAACGATTACGATGTTTATGATGATTGATGATGGTATTTGTTTGGGTCGAGATTCTTTCTTTCGTTCATTAGCGGAACAAGAGAAGCGAGCTGGCAAGGGCGAAATTGAGTCGTACATGATTTTATGTTACATATATGCTGTACCTTTTAATGGCTTAGCTCTCCTCCAGGTTCTTTGTAAATCAGTGGTTGAGCATCCAAGCGGGAAATCGGAAGGTTGAATGATCGATTCTCTAAATTGAAAATCCAGAAGCTTTCTTTGTCTCGCGCTCGGATAACATCTTTTTCCAAGACTTGCTTCTTGATGTGCAAGGCCAATGTGAGGGGAGGAGGGTGAGGGTGATTTTTATTCTATGTCTTGTACACATGTGCAAATATCGTTACCACTCCGTCAGAGTATGATCATGCATGGACTATAGGAGAACGGAATCAGTTCAAAAGAGTTGCAACTGCTCAAAAATATAAAAATCTGGCACCTTTCCTAGCATTTTTATTGATGAATAACTTAACGAATATTACACACACACACACAAACATGTTTTCGTCTGAGACGCTAAGATGTTTTCGGACAGAACTAAGGAAAGCGATGTTTACGCCCAAAGCGAAAATAAAAAACGTTTCCATAGTTATTTCCATCAACAGATCTAGGAATTTTCATATGCTGGTTAGCGGTGGAGCGCGTTCCATTGACCTCTTACCCAGACCGTCACCGTTCATGTAAGCACGGGCTCAAACTTTGTATCCATAAAGTTCAGAAGAGTTGATGCACCATATCAGTATGTCTGACCAAAACAGAGAATTGTTTGAATGTACAGCCGAGTATAAGGCAAAAATGCAACTCTCGTCAAAGAAAACTTGTATACGATTAAATTACTCAGGGCTTTTTCAGCTCAGTGTTTCTTTCTCTTCTTGTGTGGCAAAATATCACAGGAAATTTTTAGAAGTTCCCGCACTACATGTCGAGACAGCATCGCGTGACATAACAATCCTTTTGTATCTATTTCTGTAGTTGTAAGGCCACGAACGGGTGCTTTTCTCGTCCTAAAATACGATCATTTTGTTGTCAATACCTTTTAAAAGAATAAGCTATAAATGACACAGCTATGGATAGGTAAATTTTCTTTCATTTTGAAGCGGCGCTTTGTAATTATTTGCAAGTTTACAGCTCGCTTACTATTTTTATGGAACTGTATTTGCATTTTCCGGTTTTACTAGTAAGCCATTGTGATATTTGACCCGTGAGTCTGGCGCGCGTAACAGAGTGAGTTAATGTCTGGTTTTGCCCACCCAGAAGAACTGCTCGTCACGTTTTTGTACACATGAAACGCAAAATGGCGAGATCCTTAGTTCCTCTAAAAATTCTAACGCATTCTTAGCGTCTCCTCTAAAAACTATGAGTCTCTCTGCGAGCTATATTTTTATCTCTTAAGAGACATCACTGAAAAATTAATTTATAAACAACCTTCGAACGTGATGGAACGCCGAAGTATGAAAATCAATCTTGCATAGTGTTCTCTAGGATCACGAGGAAATAACTCTTGCACGTTTCGTAGTAACATATACCAGCTGGGAGGGCTCTTGCATATATACAATACTGTAAATGAAATCGTTAGCTACAGATTCCAGTTCTCTCATTGTATTTGTATCACATATTTCTTCACTCCATTTCCTTTTAAGTATTTTTATCCCTCATTTTTTTATTGAAACTCTCGTCAGGATCTTTCGAGGTTAATTTTGGCTGTCGCTGCTTGTGTATGCCTGAAACATGTACGAGCTAAAATGACGTGTTGGCAACATCAAGAAATATTTTGGTTAGTACCATGATTACGTAACAAGAAAGTAAATAGGTCCATGAAAAGTGGGTGGACCATGAAGAAGACCTAAATATAGAAAGAGCACTTTTAAAAAGTTCCAGCGGTCTTGACTTGGTTGGGTTCTCGCGCAACTTTCTTCACCCGTTATCTGGAAAAGTAAGCTTTTTTTAACCTACAATTACAAAGGCTGTTCGTGACTTATACCGTTCGTTGTATCAGTTGCCGTGAGAAATGGTACGCGCCAATTCAAGAGAGAAACTGATCACGTACCAATTCAACAGGGAAAACCCCTTCTGACCTAATCATAATACCGCCTCAGGCGCAATACCCGACATAAATATGCATGAAGAAAAGAGCGGCATACATGGTAAACTGATTTACTATATAAATCCCCTGATAATTTTCTATCGCAAAATTTAGGCCGAAAGAAACACAACGTCATCAGGAAAAAGGAAAATATTACAGATTTCCTTGACCCCATTTTTCAGTCATTTACTATCAGCTCACTCGGACCCCCGCTAATTCAATAGGGCTTTTGTTTCGCAATTTCTATCATTCGACTCAAGGTCGAGTAACGGTCAGTAAATTGTGGGCGGTGACAATACCTGTGGGGAAATATATTAAGTGTGAAGCAAACTATCGCGAGGTACTTATAATCAGTGAATACAACTTGAATTTTATGAAAAAAAAGATACAATTCCATTAGAAACTAATAGGATATTTTTTAATGTTTCCGAATTTGTTATAATAGTGAGGCTGTCAGACTAAAAGCGTGACGATGGGAGAAAGATTTCCACTGTTCCTGTTTTCTTTTTTCACGTCGCTTTTGTGTAAGTATCGTAGGACACCTTTCTTCGTTTATCATATGTTTGTCAGGCCCCTGGGTTGTACCTATCTGTATAATTTCATTGTCTATGCCTTACGGCTGACAATAAGCTACAATGCCAATCAAAAGGCAACCTTCAGGTCATATATTGCGAAGTCATCGAGGATGAACATAAAAGCACATACAAATATCACGCCACTGCAAAAATCGTCCCACTGAAGATCCGCGATGGGAGGAAGAGGGTTTAATGGTTTAAAGTCAGTAAGGGTTTCAAGAAAAATTCTAAAGAGACAGAAGTCCGTGCTTCTAAATCACATTCATAGAAAATAGTTTGTTGTTACTTTGGAGAAGCGCCTCTATCTAAAACAGCGCCGTCTTGACCTCATCAGTCAAAGATAATTCCCATTGTTAGAATACACTAGTCCTTGTATCACTAGCTCTTTATCTCACATTAGTGAAATACTGAAAGGTATTTTTTAACTCGCAGACGTAAGCGTTCAGGCCAATTCCTCATGCCAACCGGATCAGATTACAATCAAAGATCCAAAAACTGGTTCAATTCAGTGTCAGGACTGTTTAAAATGTCCACCTGGCAAGGGTCTCTCAGTTAATTGCGGAGACGTAATAACCCCTTCAACACCTGTGCAGTGCAAGCCATGTGTGCTGGGAGAGACATATTCTGCTTCCTTCAAGGCCGGAGGTTGTGAGGACTGTGGAAATAAGTGAGCAAGCCGTCAACCTGACTAGAGAGGCTTCACCAAATGTGGGCATCATAGCTGGTTGGTTTTTGGGTGGCCTTCTCATCGCGATCATCGCCATCGCGTGCCGCATAGTTATGCCTAAACGCCGGAAGGCCTTATCGATGAGGATTGGTGTGGTTACAGTGGAAGACGGAGCTGGTCGGGCGCAAAATTGCGAACAACGAAATGATCAAGAAGACAATCGGGAACAAACAGAGAGGAGAGTTTTTCTGCCAAACGGAGATCTGTATGAAGAGAGCCCACTTCCACATCCCTTTCAAGAGGAAGCTGGTGATAAAAGTCCGGAGAAAATAGGGGTGCAGGAGACCACGTCTCCTCTATCAGGCCAGAGTAGTTTAGTTGAATATATGAATTGTTATAATGATATTTTTTGTTTGTTTCTCTTTTTAAGAACAAATCACAAATCACCCTTATGCCTTAAAACCAGTCATACACCTAATCTCTATACCAAATCACACAATGGTACGGATCGCCAGAAAGACAAAATCCGGCAGAAGCTAGAGCCTTCCAACTTTTTCGAAAGTAAATAGAAATTTCGCTCAACTATAATTTCGTTGGGGAAATTTTAGTGAAAGGGAAAACCATGGAGTGTGAGGATTCCAACCGACAAACTTGTCTTACTGTTCTATCTTAAGTTTCAGTTGAAATCATTTCAAAAACATTTGAAACCTCAAATTTTTAGAACAATTTCAAACCGAGCTGTAAACTAATGCATCTTGTCATATTTTTTTTCTGTAGCTTTAGATTCTAAACTTGACGGGTTTGTGAGGAAGCAGTGTACAGAATCGTTTAAAGTGAGAGCACACAGTCCCCCCAATTTTGTAACCAGCAAGACCACTATCACGATGTACAAAGACACCGATGAGAAGGTCACCACGGTTTGACGACAGTCATCAGCTCCTTTAAATGCAATTTTCCGTTAGTTTCTGCTCAGTAGTTTGCTGAGTTAGTGAAAGAGAAATCGGGACATTTTAACAACTTTGGTTCCTTCTTATCGTTTTAAGACGTGTGCAAGCTCCGATTCACCAACGTCACAAGCTATTACATGTAAAAAGGTTTAGAAATTAGTCGTTTGAGGCGTAACTCCGGCTACACTTCACTCTGTTGAAAACGTGAAAAAGCTGTACCACGCTTCCTAATCAAGTTACGGTTTATTCAATTGATTTTATGATTCTATTACAACGCTTCGGTTAACTCCCACTCACAGCTCTTAGCTTATTTGAAAAAGACATTAAAAACGTGTGGTAGTAAGCACGTGACACATACATGTTATGTAATAAACGAACGAAATCACTTAAAATGTGAATTAACGTATCGTACGTCAATCTCCAACAACTCTCATAATGATGACTACTTTACTAATACTGCGCTCGTGCTCCCTTGGGTCGTCAATCAACACGGACAGGATTTAATTGGGTCCTCGACATTACGTATAACAAAAATTAGATATCAAAACAGAATCGCTGAGCATAATAGCTCTTTTTTTAAGTATTTGTTTTTCTATGTGTGTGGAAGATTCATTTGCATAATTAGGCTAGCTGAAATAAATCTTTGAGAATTAAAAAAATGTGAAGTAATTACGCCTTGAATGGAGAAGAAAAACCAAGCCTGCGATAATTTTACAAGTTTGCTTTGCGTCTCGTATCAGATTCAAAAAATTAGTTCCATTTTTATATCTTCCGCTGACTTCGTTTTTACTTATTAAATACATGGCCGGTAACCTTCAAGCCCGATGCTTTATAGGATTAGCGTATTTGATTAGCGATTACGGTGTTTATGATGATATTTGTTTGGGTCGAAATTCTTTCTTTTCGTTCATAAGCTGAACAAAAGAAGCGAGCCGGCAAGGGCGAAATTGAGTCATACATGTTTTTGTGTTATACATATGCTGTACCTTTTAATGGCTTAGCTCTCCTCCGGGTTCTTGGTAGATCAGTGGTTGAGCATCTAAGTGGGAAATCGGAAGGTTGAATGATCGATTCTCTAAATTAGAAATTCAGTCTCGCGCTCGGATAACATCTTTTTCCAAGACTTGCTTCTTGAGGTGCAGGTGCAAGGCCACAGTATGATCATGCATGGACTACAGGAGAACAGAATCAGCTCAAAAGAGCTACAACTGCTGAAAAATATATAAAGTCTGGCACTGCTGTTTAAATAATTTTTATCGATGAATAGCATGATGGATATTACACACACATCAATATGTCTTCGTTTGAGAAGGTAGGATGTCTTCGGACAGAACTAAGGAAAGCGCTAAAGTGGAAAGAGATAACGTTTCCATAGTTATTTTCATCAACAGATCTAGGAATTGTCATATGCTGGTCAGCGGTGAAGCGCGTTACATTGACCTCTTACCCAGACCGTCCCCGTTCATGTAAGCACGGGCTCAAACTTTGTATCCATGGTGTTCAATAGAGTTGATGCACTATATGTGTGTCTGACTAAAACATAAGTTGTTGAATGTACAGCCGAGTATAAGGCAAAAATGCAACTCTCGTCATAGAAAACTTGCATACGATTAAATTACCAAGGGCTTTTTCAGCTCAGTGTTTCTTGCTCTTCTGGTGTGGCAAAATATTATAGGTAATTTTTAGAAGTTCCCGTACTACGTGTCGAGACAGTATCGCGTGAAATACCAATACTTTTGTATCTATTTCCGTAGTTGTAAGGCCACGAACGGGTGCTTTTCTTGTCCTAAGATACGATCATTATGTTAATACCTTTTAATAGGAATAAGCTATAAATGACACAGCTACGGATAAGTATATTTTCTTTCATTTTGAGGCTGTGCTTTGTAATTATTTGCAAATTTACAGCTCGCTTACCATTTTTATGGAACTGTATTTGCATTTTCCGGTTTTACTAGTAAGCCATTGTAATATTTGACCCGTGAGAGTCTGGCGCGCGTAACAGAGTGAGTTAATGTCTGGTTTTGCCTGCCCTGAAGAGAGGCTCGTAACGTTTTTGTATACATTAAACGCAAAAAGACGAGGTCGTTGGTTCCTCTAAAAGTTCTATCGCATTCTTAACGTCTCCTCTAAGACTATGAGTTTCTCTGCCAGCTATTTTTTTTAATCTCACCTTAAGAGACAACACTGAAAAAATAGTTTATAAACAAAGTGATGGAACGTGATGGAACGCCGATGGAAATAATTCTTGCATATTGCGTAGTAACATATACAAGCCGGGAGGGCTCCGGCACTCTGATGTATGCAATGCTGTAAATGAAATCGTTAGCTACAGATTCCAGTTCTCTCACTGTATTTGTGTCATATATTTCTTCACTCTATTTCCTTTTAAGCACTTTTATCCCTCATTTGTTGAGATTTTTTATTGAAACTCTCGTCACGATATTTCGAGGTTAATTTTGGCTGTCGCTGCTCATGTATGCCGGAAACATGTACGTGCTAAAATGATGTGTTGGCGTCATCATAAAATATTTGGTTAGTACCAAGATTATGTAACAAGGAAGCAAATAGGTGCACGAAAAGCGGGTGGACCGTGAAGAAGACCTAACTATAGAAAGAGCACTTTTGAAAAGTTCCAGTGGTCTTGACTTGGTTGGGTTCTCGCGCAACTTTCTACATCCGTTAGCTAAAAAAGTAAGCTTTTTCTCAACCTACAATAGTTAGCATCCACCTTTACAAAGGCTGTTCGTGACTTATACCGTTCGTGACTTATGTCGTTCGCGACTTATGCTGTTCGTGACTTATACGTTAGTCATTGAACATACACAACATTGTTCATTGTTGATCACGTACAAATCAGTTCAATAGGGGAGACCCCCCTCCAGAATAATACACAACATAAATATGATGCATGAAGAAAAGAGCTGCATATATGGTAAACTGATTTACTGTATAAATCACCCGATAATTTTTCTGTCGCAGAATTTGAGCGAGGCTGTAGACGTAGCCCTGGCAATTCAAGACTCTGCAAAGAAAGACAGAAAGGTAAGATAATACAATAAGATAAAGCGACATTAGAATGATCATTGGAATCTCGTAAAGCTTTTGTTAAGTTTTTTTCAAAAAAACTTAACAAAATCGTTCGTAACCTGCCGTTTGTTCGTTACAACTTAGTTTCGTTTAATTCGCTGTTTAAATTTTTTCATCGATCTGAAAATACTTTGGAAAGCCTTTTTCAGGCTGGTCTAACACGAAGCGCTCATTTAGGCTTGTTACCCATTCTTTCCCCATGCCATATTTAGGCCGGAAAGAAACACAACGTCATCAGGAAAAAGAAAAATATTACAGATTTACCTTGACCTTATTTTTTCAGTCATTTACCAACGGTTAACTCGAGCCCCCACTAACTCAATAGAGCTTTTGTTTCGCAATTTAACAGTCCCCCCATGATGTTGTAACCAGGAAGACCACTGTCACGATATTCAAAGACACCGATGAGGAGGTCACTACGGTTTGACGACAGTCATCACTCCTTTGAATGCAATTTTCTGTTAAATTTTGCTCAGTAGTTTTTTGAGTCAGTGACAGAGAAAATTATTGTTAGACAAATTCTCCCTTAATTAACAAATAGAGAAGCCTTGGCTGTGCTCTGTTCTGTTATAAAGCACTTAGGAAGCGGCTAGAGCACGAAAGAAGTGTAGTGTCTCACTTCTTGAGATTGCTCCGAAGGCTTGCACGGAAAGTCGCGGAATTCCTTTCTTGAAGAGCATAGTGCCGTTTGATTATATTTATAGCATGAGAGGATTTGACGTTCTAAAGAATCGGTTCAGGTTATCATAATTTCAGTCAATTTTACGGAGTTGTATGCCACAAAGCCTGAAACTGAAAAAAACGCATCACCATCGCAAGCAAAAAAATTGCACTTGTAACCGCGGCTTTAGAACAGGGTCTTGGTTTGCGTTTGTTGCTCACTGATATTGACGAAGTTTTTCATCCTCTGGAAAAAAGAACAAACAAAAAACAAAAACCGAGATGAACTTGAATCCTTTGAGAGATGAGTGACTGAACGCCGCTGAAGATTTTATGTACCGTGAAGATGGCATCTGATTTTCCAGACGGCAAGATTTGTGAGACAAGATAAGAAGTCTATTGTCTTTTCACTCTCCTGATCTCAAACGACATTTTCTACCGACGATCTTTATTACATTACGGCTTATTCTCGAATACATGTCAGAACATAAGGATGCTCGTTACTCGCATTTATCCCCACCGATATCGACACCCTGGTTTCAGCAATGAAGAATTTTGAAAGGAAACCCAAAAAGAAACCATCTAATGACAACGCAAATGCCTACAAAGTATTTAAACCGCGGGCGAATTAGTTATTTAATGGCATATGCTCTTAGCGCAAAAAAGCAGCAATATTCCTTGATATCGATCAATTCTCATGATACACGCGGCCGCTTCGTAAGAAACGATTAAAACAATAGGTGGTTATTTTCTCACCTCCCTGATAAAAATGATCCATTGTCAAGTTTCAAGCGATCTCAGTTCGCACTTGCCTCTCTAATTGCTTCAATTGCATTGTATTAAAAGCAATCGCTTTGTTTAAGTTATCATTGAATGAACACAAGGCATAAAATGATGGTAACTAAAAACCTCCGGGTGTAATGAGGACTGATACTCGCTCAGTAATGTTGTCGAAATTTAAGGTTAAGTCGGTCGGCGGTGGGAGTTTTCAAACTCATTTTTATCACAATCGAGAACAGAGTTGCGCGCTGGTACCGACACAGCCATCTCTTATAGAAGTTTATGAGGCCGAGATAAGACGTCTTCGGGAAGAGAATCGCAATTTGAAAATTCAGCACAACACCATGTCGACCAAAAGGAAGGCAGAGCAGTTTAAAACTTTCACCTCTTTGTTAAATGCCGCGCACGCCGTCAGAGTTTTCACTGGAAGACTAAAGTAGAACGATAGCCCGCAAATATTACTGATTTTTTTAGTCCAGCCATTTAACTCGGCGTTATTCTTAATTCCTAAGAAGTATTTTCCCAAACGCCAATTCTTTCTTCTATTTTGTTTTACGTTACGACTAAAACTAGATAGTTTTAAAACTATCACCTCTTTGTTAAAAACCGCGCGCGCCGCCAGTGTTTTCACTGCACGACTAAATTAGAACATTAACCTTTAAAGATCATTTTAAATCCAACCACTTAAGTTGAGCGTTTTTTAATTCCTAAGTGGTATTTTCCCCAGCACAAAATTTTCTTCTTCTTTCTTTACGTTACGAGAGTGAAAGCGTGATAGTATTAAGACTAGCGCTTAAGACTAGCGCTTCTTTGATAAGAGAAACAAAACTCTTGACCAAGTGAAACCATCGATAAAAGCTTCATCGTTTTGCGGCGTTGTGCTGCACGCTATTATCAACTGATCCAAAGTACAGTATAAAGAATTCAGCATTTCCAGGTATCTTGTTTGGGGTTAATAACAATAGTGAATTGTTGCTTTTTTTCCTCTCGTCCTCTTGCCGAGTATAGTTCGTGAATGTTGTTAACAACAAAGCATCCTTATTGTGTTAATAAATTTATAATCAACTGGTTCGCTGATGAAAAAAAAAATACTGAGAGACCAAGCATAGTGAAGGGCATTTTCTCCCTTGGGTAGCCCTGTGTGAACAGCACGCTTATGAGCAACTTTTCCAACCCCTCTCCCCAAGTGCCGCTAATTTGACACGCCGACAATTTTGCGTCGATTTCGTCGAGTCTCGGCACAATTTCCTCAGCGCAACAAACAACAAAAGGCTTTTGTTTGAACTTGTGAAGTCGAATTTAACCCACAACAATGGCCCATTTCTTGATACGAGATATAAAGATAACCGATTCGCAAGAAGTTTGAGGTCGTTCGCAAACATTTCTGAATGAATTCACTAGTTCAATTCTTCCACAAAAAATTTTTGTCTGTCTCTTACTGCTTATGGCTTCACACTGATAAGAAAATAATATTTGGGAAGGCCGATCAGAAACGCTTTTGTGACGTTTTCAGACTTTAAATACAAGTGATGAATAAGCAAATACCTATCTAACCCGCCAACGCATTTTTCCAAAAGGGTTTTAACTGGCTCTGTGAGTATATAACTACGTACAACCAAAGCGGTTTGTATTCCCAATGCAAGCAGACGGCCGGGGGAGATGAAATTCTACGAGTAAACACTGAAGTTATAGGTAATATTTTCAAGATCTATGACTTTTTCGGCTCATTGTTTTTATATCCATAGTGCAACACTAACAAGGGATTAGATTAGATCCTTTGCTATAGGATTTGGCTATATGTCTGACAACGAAGAATGTAGTAACATTTACGAATCCAGAAAAACCTTTTCAGACGGAGCAAATCAAGTTTATGTAGACTACAGCATTTTCTTCGAGTTCTGAATTCATACAACACGAAAGATTTCATAACAGCAGCCGCTTCATGTCTCAGCTATGAATTTGTCACAGAAGCGTAGGAAGGGCAGTAGCAATGTTTATCGCGTGCAAAATTACACAATATTTGAGATTCACGTCAATGAATAATATTATTGGTGATAGTATCCCAAACTACTAGTTGAGTTACTTTCAGCAGCTCGTTACGATAAACCGTGACGATATGGCCTCGGTGTCTTTGAGCACAAAAGTCTGTAAAAGTCATTATCAAACTTAAGAGTTTTCGTTTCCGTTTTCGTTTTCGTTTTCGCTTTCGTTTTTGTTGAGCTTTGTTTGTTTGAAAACAGAAACAACACCGCGGAAATAGGGGTATGTCACGGAAAAGGTGTACTCATCAGAAAGTAAATTCCTATCAGTCTTGAGGGAAAAAAATCTTGCCGGCACACTTTTCTTTTTGAAGAAAGGGGCTAACTTTCTAACGAAACTGTGGTGGTGCGTCGGTGGGGGAGTGTAAGAAGAAAATTAATTTGGTTTTATCAACTGAATTGATAATGTAAATTAGCCACTGTAAAGAGTTTCTAAGCTTAGAAACTCTTGACGGTGGCCGATTTACATTAATATCTCAGCTGATAATACCAAATTGTATTTTTTTGAAGAATTGCTTTGTTTCCTAATCGGTTCTCATCTCAGAATTATTTTATTTTTTCTCTTGCAGTCTTTGTGAAAAACTCTGCATACAACAAACGAAATATTACAATGAGGGGCAATCGACAAGGAATAGGTGAGGGACATCTGCCTGTTTGCCACAATTTTCAGAACACATATAGAAACTTACGTAAATACAACGCTAAAGCTTTTCAATTTGAAGTGGCCGAGAGTCGAACCAACTATTAGCCCATGCATGGGATTGGTATGTGAATTCTTGGGCTTTTTTAAAAACAGCACAATTAATTTTATCAATCACAAGGAACAACAGCCGAACTTCAAACGTTTCGGAATGTCTTTCGATGTTGAATTGGGACAGAGAACAGTAGGGCTGTCTGAAACAGTCCACCTTTCACTAGACAGCCTATGATTTTCTTCAAGTTTACTGAGTTCTGTCCAATTCCATTTCCAAACTTGACAGGCTTGTTCAATCATTCAAGATTGAAAACATTGTCTTGGAATGAGCAGATTTAGTTGTTATAATTCGCTTCTGCCTTGGAAATGGCAGGTTCGAAAATCATGTCAGAATATTTGACTCATTTATAGTCCTTTGTACAGAAATTATTCATCGTCATCGATGGCGTAGATCAGCGAAAGCCTAGAACAAAGAAGAATTGCAGTAGCTCAGGGCCTCAATCGACTCGTCCATTTAATCGGCATGCTACTGAAGGAGAACTTCAAACGTTTACTACTTTGTTTGCCAGAAAATCGATTTATTTTTTATGCTACTGAAGGAGAACTTCAGACGTTATTTTTAGAAAATCGATAAACCCAGAATCTAGCCAAATTGCAAAATTTAGGGCAAAGCATAAAGGACGACATAAAAGCAGTGTTTTGAGCTGCTTGAACAGCTTTCACGCGTTCGTTTAGTGGGTACTAAAGCATAAAATCCGCTAAGAATAAAACAATTACGATGCCGACAAATAATTCTTTTAAACTGTAAATATGTCTTTTCTACGAAGATATTATGTGCGCGATCGTCAATTATGGATTTTATCTGGGAAAAAAAATTCCCTTACTGAAATCGAAAATGATATTTTGGCGTCTGACCGGTAACAAATCAATTTAATCGTGATTGGCTGATTAAGTTTTAAGACTCCCTCGGGATCTCGGAATAGACTTCCCTTAGGAACTGGTCCTTACTTTTCGCCTAGAAGAGGGAGGGGGGCGCGTTGTGGAAGCGGAGTTTTCATTTTTGTCGCAATCAAACTCACCCGATCCCCCCATAAGGCTCTTAAGTATACTAACGATCGCCCTTATTGGCGGTCAATTTTCCATAGTCCACTTTTGACTTTATCACAGAAGACTGATTCCCCCCTCAGCTCTCCTGAGAACCATGCGAAATCCTCCAAAACCCCCAGACGATAAAAAGACTGGTCCCTTAGCAAAAGTAGCCCTACGAAGTTGTTATAATTATTTTAAATTTTATTGTTCTTGATCTTTTATTTTCAGGCGCTCGTTTATTTCATTCTGTATAATAACTTCTTTCCTTCAGGTTCTGTTATGTTATTTCTGGCACTTTCCGTTCAAATTATACTATCAACGCACGCAGCCCCAATGGATTGCCAAAAGAACACTGCTGTCTGCTTGGAAGAAATAATGAAGGAAATGACCCAAGTTCGATTTGAGTTAAACATTCTCACTGAGAACAGAACATTAATAAGACGTAAGTAAGATTGTCTTCGCTTTACCTGTATAGATCATTTCCATCTTCCTTTTCTCTTTATTAACTTAATCATTGCTTGGTGCAGAGTGAAAAACCTACGGAAGTCCTATAACGGCGGAATGGCGATTTCAATTTTTTTTTAAGTAATCAATTTGCGGTTCTAGAGGGCAAAATTTTCTAATCGGAGTTCCATGTTTCAGTTTGGTGGCGATTCTTTACTCACGCGGCGATGTGGTGAAACATTTGCAAGGAAATGTTTTTCGGCGTATTGTCATCATCGTCTTCAATGTTATCACAATTTTAAAATATTCATTAAAAAAATCGATATAGAAGATAAATGGAGACGAGAGTTAAGTATGCAGGTATCCTTGAGCCAGTCAAATCGGACTACTAAGAAAGAATTTAGCCCTTTATAGTAATAACAAGTTATCCCATGTTCCCTTACAAAATTAAGAATTAAATATCACCCGTGTTTTCTTAAGTTTCAAAATTGCCCGAGTCGCGCAATTGATTCTTGAAAACGTATGTGAGTATTATAAACCCTTAAATTTTATTGGCTCCCTGCGATTACCGAAACAAATTTTGACATAGCAAACTGTTTCAATTGTTGTAGTCCCAGGAGAGACAAACTTACGAAAGTGTTATCTTTACATCCGAATCCGGAAAGCGCAAGGGACCAATCTGTTAAGGACATTAGCCTATTTAATTTATTATTGATTAGTTTAATTATTTCCATTATCCTAGGTACAAACATGGTTACAATGTTCATCTGTTTGTCTATATTTTTATTGGTTTTGTAATCGGACCTTTCAGCGTGACCTTATAAAAGCGAGTTTAGCTTCCCTGTGATCAGTTCTTCGCAAGTTTTTGATTAGTCTCAGTGAACTTTCGTATTTTCGTTTTAAACCTTTGGCACAAGCGAGACCGATATGTAAGTACCTTTGTAACTTTGTTTTTCTAAATTTAGTTTTCCAGCATTGGGCTCAAGTATATAATCAAATATTTCGTTGTATTGCAGCATTTTCAATTGAATCGAGATTTAAAGGCCAAATTTTTTCAAATGCAAGTGAACGAAAGAACGATAGGCTGTTAACCAGCCACCAAATTCTTGTAATTTTGTACTTTAACGTAGTTTGTATTGTTTATTTGTATTGTTTAATATCATTTTAATCTCGTTATCGGCGTTAAGGTCCAGCTTTTTACACGCGATTTTTGATTATGTATTTCGCAACATTTTATCAGACTGATAGAACTTCGTCGCATTAATGTTTCAGTTTACGGTCGATTGATTGATTGAGAGATTGATCGTTGATTGTGGTTCGTGGATTGCCTGCAAGATTAAAGATTCGTGTAAACGGTCAACTTTGGTCTGTTACATTTCATACATTTCAGTCTCGATCAGTAAAATAGCCCCCAAACACTGCGTTAACCGCGTCTTGGAGCGACATTTATTGGAATCTTATAAATTAGATTTTTGGTCGCCGCAAGTGCCAGACAATCAGATTACAGGAATCGGTTAAAAAATATTATATTCATGTGTTATGAAGAATACAAGGTTTGTCTTCTTCTTGTTATGAAATGTTTACGGATTCCTCATCAGGTGGTATAGGCAAATCTATATACCTACCCCTTTTTTTAGAGTAGGCCCATGACATTGAATACCTTTATTTTATATCTAAAAGCCACGGACTGTGCTGAGCTCTACAAATCCGGTAGAACGGTTAGCGGAGTTTATACAGTTGATCCTGATGGTTCAGGTGCCTTTAATGTATATTGTGACCAGACCACAGCCGGTGGAGGCTGGACAGTCTTCCAGAAGAGAATTGATGGTTCCGTTGATTTTAACCGAACCTGGGATGACTACAAACATGGCTTTGGCAACTTGGTTGGTGAATTTTGGCTCGGATTAGATAAGATAAACCGCCTGACGCAAAACAAGACAAAGAATAAGCTTCGAGTTGATCTGAGAGCAATTACCAACAAAATTGTTCACCCTGAGTATGATTGGTTTGGAATTGCGACCGAGACGAACAAATATCGGCTGTACATTGGCAAAATGACGACAAGTAAGTCATCGATCAACCAGTTTTTTAGCCATATTGTTCGAATTTTATCTTTGCTACCCCTTCATCGGCAAAGGGTCCTCCTGGCCCCTTCCCCCTCATCCTTCTCCTCGCAACCAACAAAGAGTGTTTTTTCCTTGCTCTTTACCGTTTGGCTATGTTTAGCAGTGAATCGCATTCTGCTCATGCGCAGTTGAGTCCACACCCCTCCGTAGAAAATGGCAATTTGCTTTCGAGGTTGTTGGAGAGTGATTCCTTAGATACATTACGAAAAAGCAAACTCTGAAATTGAATTTAAAAAAAGTTACTAAAATCGTTTCTACCAAAATATTGTAGTTGTTGGATTATCTGACTTGCGCGCTCTTAACAAAATCACGATGTTTTGCTCCACCTCGACGCATGAAAGTCAATCAGTTATCATCATCGACGATTGAAAATAAAATTCATTCTTTTCATGTTAAGAAAAATCTGTTTCATCGAAGTAGTATGTCACTACTGGTGTCGAATTTTTTTGTTTTCTTGTCGGTCAAACATCATCCTTGAGGCTCCAAAAGACATTAATCCAAGAGATTACACACTCTTGCGTAATGCTAAAATTATGCTACTATTTTTTTTTCGTTTGGAACAGATGCAACTGTTTGCCCTGATTCCCTCAGCCAACACAATAATTTCGATTTTGGTATCTGGGAAAGAGGTCCTGCAGATCGCGTTCAAAAAAGAGGCGTAGGCTGGTGGTATGATGAAGATAGAGAAAATGCTGTTTACTCAAATCTTAACGGTATCTATCCGCTTTGTGGAAGTGAAACCGCGACTGATATCCACTGGGGCCATTTAGCTCCAAAGAGGGGCGCCGCGGGCAGCGCTCCTAAATCATCTGAAATGAAAATTAGGCCAGTGGATTTCTTTTAGAGTTAACCATACACTCCATAAGTGAGCTGTGATTTTTGCTCTGACCTGTTACATCCTAGGTGTTAAGTGTGTAAGATTTCTCTTTTACTAATTTTTGATTGTAGAAGTATTAAAAAAAAAACTTCATACCGATCAACATATTCTTAAGGGTTCATTTAGAGTTATTCATCATGTACTTTAGGGGTTTTAGGGTGTTGGGTATGCATTAGATATCTTACCTATTTTGTTTTGACCTATGATAATATCAAAATAAGGAGATCAATTGGTCTAGCTTTCTTTAAAACGACCAAACCTTACTCCACTTTTAGATCACAACTAAGAAATTAGAATGTACTAATTTAGTCTTTTGTACAAGCACTAGTTCATGGAACAATTAGTTATGCTTTCGATTGATTTGATCTGTGAAAAAGGAGGCCAAAGCCTGTATTAGTTTAGTTGGTATACGAGCATATTTGATATTCTCTTGGTTGGCCTCTGGCTGAAATCCGATTAACAAATAAAAACTCATTTCGCTTAAGGTTTTGAAAACCTCACACTTTATTTCTCTGTGTTGTATATTGATTAATTTTCTGCACTCATTAAAACTTAGTTCTTTTCCCAATTTTTGGCACTTTTTCAAATCCCTTCATTGTTCTTCCTCTTCATCACCGGGACATAGTACTCTAGACACGAATTTAGTAAAACTGACTGCTTCTGTCCTGGTTAGAGGTCCCTAGTATATGATATTATAAAAGAACCTTTTTTTTCCATTTGCAAACAAATCCAGGCTTTCTTTAATCTATGCAGACCACTCAGCTGAAATCACCAACCTATACGTAATAAATATTCTCAATGTAGCAAAGTAAACTATGACTAACTTCGGTGAACGCGTTCACAAGTCGTCAGCGTATTGTTCGACGTTCAACCCCCACGTTCGAAATAAAAAAAAATTTGCTTTGGAGTATTGAATAGGAAAAAAAATGAATTGCTGTATTAACTCGATCATGCGCTGTACCATTCCCTTCGTCAGCCCATGCGCTCTGACGAAGGGCTTACGCTCCAAACATTTAGTATAGTAATTTGCCATTTTACACACTATTCATCCCTTTGATTGATTTGCTTTGTATAAATTATGAATCAAAAAATGAAAGTACTGCGAAACAAAAATGAGTTTGCTTATAGCTTGCTGTAGGAATTAAACCGTAGTATTTCTTAGTGGTTTTTTCTAATATTAATACTTAGTGATTTTTACGCATGGTGTTACAAAGATGAAACTTGAATCTTCCCAATCGTTGCTGTTTGGAATCATTAGAGAGCTTTTGCACAAGAATAAATGTTTCCTTTATTTTTTTAAATCTCTATTCCAAAAGCAAACGCGGGTCTACATATTTTATCTAAAGGGACAGCTTTAGAAATATGAAGAAGTGCAGCCATACGACCAGCTTTGTGCGCATAATCATTTATTTAATCAAATGGCCACGCGGAAATTAACAAATGCAATAAAGTAATTTTAGAAATATTCAGCACGACCTTCTTTCTTAGCCCAGCCGCAACCACGCTCTATTTGTGTGGCAAACTGCCAATGTATCTCAGATATCATGCCACAACCATTCAAAGCATCGTACGACACACCCATTTTTATTGAAGCGGAATAATTTTCTTAAACGTAGACGCATGACAGTCTTAACCTTAAACATTGAAAGTGCTGCTATTACAACATCTATTCTACTTGTTTATCTTATCAGTCGATGCCTTCCTGAGTTATCCCATGATACATAGCTTCTTGTGATTACTTATGTGACTACAAAACAGTTCATCAGAAGACTTTTTGGGTTACCGACGTTGAATTTGTAATTTCACCTCAGCGGTTACAGGTAAGTTTTGCTAGTTTCCTGGTAGAAGTCAGGAAAACCCATCTTAACTCAGCTCCCCTCGGCTCATACAATTACATATGCATTACTCATCTTAGCCATTTTTTCATCAATTCTCCTAAAGAGATTTTTGAAATCATTTGCTGCAGGGCATGTCACGAGTTTTGAGTCAGGAATTTGTTAATGTAATTATCATTACCGGTGTTATTCGTCAAAAGAGCAAGCTTATTCCTATGACATCCTTTTCACTGAGTTCGGCGCTACTCGTCTTTTGTGCTTCAGTAGTCGAAACTGCTCAAAAAAATTCTTCCATAAAGGGTAAAGGATTGATAAAATTTGTGTCGCATCTATAAGAAATGCTTATTTCGCTTGATGGCAATGGACCAAAATCACATGATAAATTGACTAGTCTTGCTGCCCACGCGGCAGCAGATAGGATTTTTCCGTTTTTCCGCTTGCTGATGACTCATCAGAATTTAACATCAGGCGCCGAGGAAAAAACAAGGTCTCGACTACCTCAACCCAACAACCAAGGTAGGATTTCTCAAGTAAGGAAAACAGAATGCCCTTTCTTTTATCTGATCACTAAAAGAGCTTCAATGTTATAATTTCCCCTTCCGACGGAGGCCAGAGTGGTAAGTAATTTCTCATGTCATGGCGGGTAAGTCGGTTTTATTGCTTCCCTTACACTTGAGAAATTCAAGACCGGAGAGCAGAAAAAACGGAGACATGTTAAAATCAAAATATCAGATTTTAAGATAAACATTTCAGTTCAAAATAAAGCAAAGACCTCCACCAGATTGCTCAAAGTCCTACCGTCCCCAAATTAACACTGGCACTAAAATAAGAGTGATGCTAACTTTTGGGGGACTTGAATTTTTTTTCTGTCCCGCGCACACCCTCGCTTTTCTTTTCAAAATATTAAAATTGTTACGGTAAACATTCTTATCAAAATAAGACAACCGGAAATAGTCTTTGAGCTTTTAGCACTGACTATCTTTTGTGCTTTGTAAACATCGCCACTTATGGTAACAGGTTCAGGTTTTGCGCCGCTGAGATCTGATGAAGAAGGAAAATTCTTGTACAGCCTACAGACATTAAATTATTTTCTTGCAGTTGGTTTTTGCGGACTAAGTGTATATATTACTTATGACATTCTTTTCTCTGCATCCGGCGCTACGCTTCTTTAGTGTTTCAGTAGTTAAAAATTCAAGAAAATTTTTCCTTATGGGGTAAAGAACTTATACGATTTATTTCGCAGCTTGTGACCTAAAATGTGCTTCGTCGGCTAAACACAGGACCAAAAGCCACAACATCTCAATTTCCTCTCTGCGATCTGGGTGCCCACGTGGTGGCAGCTGGGACATCTCCCTAGCTTTTTACTCTTGCTAACGTCTCCATTGAACAAAATGAGCATCAGAAGAAAACAGAAAGAAACTCCCCAAACATGGAAGAACTTCTTAAGTAAGAAAATCTAGTGCCATGTAATCGGATGTTCTCAAAAATTTTAAATGATCACCTAAAGAACTTCGAGGATAAAATGTTTCCGCGTCGCTTGAAAGCCCTCGGACATTTACCTTGGTAAAGCTGTTAGCTTCTCTTAAGCTGGAGAAGCCTCCATTGTGTTTCCTGATTGTTCTGTGTTTCGGCGCAGATATGGTGAAGTTTGCAGCCAGAAACCCCAAATCATTCCTTGCATAAGAAAAACAAAAACAAAAAAGTAGTCATATGCTCGTGTAAAATCAGTTTAAACACACGATCAAATGTTAGAAAAGAATAATATAGAGCTACTCAGAACTCAGAAGCTTTTCTCTATTTGTTATGACTAGTCTTAATTTCTCAACCTTCCGGTAATTTAAGTAATTTCCTCATGCCTTTGAATAAGCTATTGACATTGTCAACAAAGCGGAGCGGTTTTATTGTTTCCCTTGCACTTGAAAAATTCAAGACACGAGAGTAGAAGAAACGGAGACATCTTCCTTCTGAGAGCAGAAACAAATTTCGTTCGGAATTCTATCGATAGAGAGGAGTAATAGCGTATGGAACAGTCTCTCTTAGCAATGAACTGGCAGCCAAAAATATGAAAGAATTTAGTCGTGCATCAAATAAATTACACGCTAGCAACAGTCATATTAAACATGGACTTTGCTTATGAATAATAACAAAATTTTTGTTTTAAAATTTGAAGGCGGGTAAATCAAGTCAAGGTCGTAGATCTCTAGGACCACAGTTTAATTTTCATAGACACTGCATTCGTAATTAGATGCAAATTATTGCAAACGAACGTTATTATTTTAAATCCATGACTCCACCAGCTATGCTGACAAACCCCATCGCTAAATTAAAAAGAAATATTTTAGTTAAAAATAAAGCAAAGTCTTGGACCCGACTGTCCAAAGTCCTACCGCCCCCAAATTAACAATGGTTCATAAATAAGAGTCATGCTAAATTTTGGTGGGACTTGTAGTCCCCTCTTAAAGCCAATTGTCGAGAGTGAATCAATTAACAAGCATGTACGACCGCTCATGTGGGAAAAACAGCGCAAACACATTTCGCTGCATTACATTTAATTTCACTTACTTGACCTTGATAACGCGTCGAATTTTTTCCGATTCAGTGCCTAATTCGTGACCCCATACATTTGTAATACTTCTTACACGTCAATATTTTCACAGTGCAGTCCGCCCTAGGTAACAGGTCTTCATAAAAAAAAAAAATAATTTTACTCATAAAGTCGGTATCAAAAACTTTACTTTATGAGTTCATCATTTCTAGTGAGTTTGGCAATTACACAAAACAAGATCATAAATGGTGCCCTCAATTTTAATTAGCAATTTGGATGATTCTCGTTTTACTTGGACCATGAAGTACATCTACTGCTGAAACATTGAAGGTGCTAAACACCCTAATTCCGGCGGTTTCAATTTAATTTTGAGGTTTTAAGAAGAAGATTATTTCGCAATTTTCTCGACCTAAAATAGGTAGCTTCCTGTTTTTTGGGCGTGTTCGAATTCTGTGAACCCGGACGCCCACTCTATTACCACTTGAAAACTTGCTGATGCATCCTACGAATGTTTAATTTCGGTTTACGTCACCTTCCGATTCAATAAGAAAAAACTCCCTGAGATGACCTGCGTATATTACTAATCGGTACATAAAATTATTCTCTGAATCAATTTCTTGTTGCAGCGTGTGCGCAAAGTTGTAGGCCAAGCCACGACAATTCAAGACTCTACAAGGCAGGATACAAGGTAAGATAGGTAGAATAACGAATAAAGAGATTCAGGTGACTGTACATGAACCAGCAACTCAAAGTTTCATTGGATTAGCTAAAAATGAGAAAAGCCATTTAACCATAGTGGTCACACGAATCAATCACTTTCACTACTGCGTTCGCTGTTTTGCAGTATATTCCTGATATCCAAGATTAATTTAAGCCTTTCTCCGAAAGACTTTGGCTGAGTTAATTCAGAATAGGATGTCGCCACTAGGCTGGTTGTCATTCAGAATGATGGCTCAAACTTTTGTATTTATCGCGGGCCTGTAAGCCAGCTGGTGTAATTTCGTGACTTTGCTACATGAGGAAATATGACTTATTTGTGTTTTGTTTTCCTTTTGTTCAATCGAAATGCTCACTGTCTCGGTGAGATGTTCTGCTCCTAGCCTTTTCTACCGGCTTCCCTCAAAGGTCTCACATTTTATCTAGTTCGAGATGTGTTCGCCGCAATTTTAATAATGTAGGTAAATTTTAAGGATGTTCTTACGGTCACTGTATATAAGATATTTCTTGCAATGGTCACAAATGCCCTCCAATTTACAACTATTAATCTTTCCTTCTCAGAACGGTTTAGGCCTCAAAAAAATTTCTCACTACAAAATCTTGTTCTTATTTGATTGCTGTATGCACAAACAGATGAAAAGATAAAAGCAGCCTGAATGCCTCCTACCGAACTCACGTAAATTGCCCAACGTACGGTTTCAACTTGAGGAACCACTGAAGTTAAAAATGTCACAGTGATAACTGACACCATTTCTCAGTTTTTAATGATTTGTTACGCAAGTACGCAGCAACCAAAACCAGAAAACTTAATTTGTTTGCGACCTTACAAAAACAATCTTCCGGATAACCCGTGTGTCGTGCCATTGCCGAATTAGGCAAACCACAAAATCATCAATTGTACACGGAAAATAAAATTGCTTCAAACTTCAGCTGACATAGAAGCTTAAAGGTCAAATGATTTTCAGACAATATCGAAATCTCACCTATTTTAAGTTCTCTTGTCTGGTCTATTTATGTTGCATGACTTAACCCAGATAGACTTAAACATTTAGGCTCAACTGCTTCATACATTTGCCTCTAAACACATACAACCTGTTGCCTTCACGTTGTCCTGAAGCGTGTTAGATCTTAATTAGAAGGCCATTATCATTGTAGATTCTGAGCTTTTTGTTCCCTTTTCTAAAGACAAAAGGAATCGCAAACTGTGCGCGATCTATCCGACGCTTATGACTCTGCTCTAACGATGAAATACCTCAAGGAGCTTCCTCTCTTTCTAGGAAAGGGAGCCGTCGTCCATCGATACTAGAAATTTAGCAAGAAGACGGGAACGTCATTTCAGAACGAAAGAGCACCCGTCGCAATCAAAACGCCTGGGATTTGCATCAATTGCGCACTTGTAATGTTGTTTGAAATGATTTAAGAAATCATTTGCAGGATAACCTGTTCCCTATATTTGTTTTATTGCATGTATTTGGGAAAATTTACCGCTACATTTTCCGCTGGGTTCCCGAAAGGAAATCAAACACTATCGATAGCAAGCGATCCAAGATTTCAGGACTCAGTTCGCTTTTATTTAAGCAAGGCTTTCAACCATTTAAGGGCCTTTCTTTGATACATTTCTTTAACCCAATATGAAAACTCTTAGAAGGGGGTGCTGTTGATTTTCATCGTGAATTTGTCTATCAATAAACTTGCTTAATGTTGAAGCTTATCAAAATAAAATATCCACGAAGCTTACCTACTATATTACTGCGATTTTAATCGCTGATCGCGGCGAACTTGATCGTCAGTTTGAATCGCACGTGATCTGCGCCACCGATCGATGCGGACACACTTGACGATATCTTTTCAATTTCGTAGTGATTTCTTGAGAGGCAGCACTTTCTTCGTGCGATTATTGTAGTCGCTTGACGTTACATCATATACTCACGCGAAATGGTGGCGAATATAATTGCCGATATCAGAGATCGGCGACAATCGCTATCACTGTAGCGGGCACACCTGGCGATTTGGCCTGTTGCCGCGATCGGCGCATAAAACCGCTTAGTGTGTCACAAGCTTAAATTAAGCTCTGATGGGTAATACTGCGTGACAGAAAGGTTTTCGTTTCTTTGTGTGGTTTGCTTCTGTTTTTCTTTCTCATAGTGGATTGCAGGAGTTTATGAGTGCAAGCTAAAATTTCTCCGTCGGCTTCAAGTTCATCAGAACATAGATTAATTTTTCATCTTTAAACCCTCACCCTTGTTACTTCGAGGCAATTATTCAAACACCAAGCGAAAACGACATCTAAATCACCAGCATAGCGCTGAAAGAAAGCGCATTCTTCATTTGATTACGATGTACAGCGGGAATTCACAGCGCGTAACTCATTTCAAATTGGCCAATCAGCTTTTGCAACCGACAACGACTTGGACGCTTACACACCTTAGCAGACCAAATGGGAAATTAGCACCCACTCTCCATTAGGTGTCCCCGCCTCTCCTAATATCTTTTCTGGCTAAAATGGACAAAAGGAAACCTTCTCGTCTCATTATTTGTGGGCTGCAGCCATGATCAACGCCTGATAATCAAGCACCTTTTCTTTTAAGGAGGATACTACCTATAAGCCGAATACCCTGATTATTTACATGATTATATTTAAGGAAATAGGGGTCTTACCAGCTGATATGCGTGCGGACATCCTATCAATTAATGAATTGTAATGCCGCATTGTCGCTCACTGTTTCAGATCGTACTCACGTTTGTTCTTCTGACCAACCCATTTGTTGCCAATAAAGCTGCTGCTTTTGAGCTCACTTGATTCAAAATGACTTTCTTTTTCAGCACGACCCCAAGCTCTGAATTGAACAGCTCAAGAAGGTTTAGCTTTGAGATTTACGATGTCCTCTTCTGATCGACTTTTCGGCCTACTATACATTAGCATGATGTCTGTTTTCTGGATGTCTGTCTCCGCCTCGCCATGTCCAGGTAACAGTATAACCATCCGGGATTCAGTAACGGGGCACGTTCAGTGCCAGGACTGCTTGGTGTGTCCGGCGGGGCAGGGTCTCTCTGTGGACTGTGGTGATGTAATATCACCACAGACACCCATCGTTTGTAAGCCATGTGAGCTAGGGAGAACTTATTCATCTAAAAGCGAAGCCGGGGCGTGCAAGAGTTGTATGCAATGTGGAGAATATCGAGAGACTATCAGTTCTTGCACCCTGACCTCTGAGGCAGTGTGCGGGACGAACTGTAAGCTTGGAGCTTACCCAGAAGATATGCTTAGCATGTGTAGACCGTGTTCCGCTTGCTGCAACGACGAGGATGATATCATTGAGCCTGAGTGTCAAGTGCCGGGGGTGCCTAAAAACAAGCAGTGCAGCGAGCTTAGATCAGAGAAGTGTAGCGAGGTGATAGCTAATGTGAGTGTCAGTAAAAGGGTACTTGACGCGGAGGCCAATCTCTCCGCGTCATCATTGGCAACCTGAACAAAAGTGCAAACGTCCACCCCAGTCACAGAGCACTCTAAAAAGGATTCAGATTCCACGGACGATGTTTCTCCACTATATGGTAAGATGATTGGCATTGCAATTGGAGTTCCATTAGTGATCTTGGTGCTGGTGGCGCTTATCCTTGTCGTGAAAAAAAGACGCACAAGGCAAGCATGTAAAAAGACTGGCGATAATGATGTGGAAAGGCTTGATGTACAGGGGAGTATAAGGCCAGTCAAGGACGAAAAGTCTGATCAACTGCCGCATCCAGTGCAAGAAAGTGAGAATCTCACAGTAGCGAAGCCGGAAACACAACTTCCGGCTGAAACAAAAGTATAATCATTCCGTTTTCTCAAGGGATCAGTTGTTATTTTTCGCCCGGGGTGGGGTGGAGAATTTTGGGAGGATCACGTGGTTTTCAAGGGGGAAGGGAGGGGGGGAGCTCAGTCGTCGCCAACAGAGTACAAAGGGCGGACTAAAGAAAATTGACTGCTAATCAACTGCCAATGAGGATAGGGGATCACGAGAATATCAAAGAGCCTTAGGGGCAGATCAGGTGAACTTATCGTGAGTCAACCAAATTCCTCCACCTCCATGGCCGCTAAATAAGGACCAGTCCCTAATGAATTATTGTCGTCACCTCCAGCGGTAATTTTCGATGAAAAAGGGAAATTTAGTGTTTCCTTTTCATTGTTTAGTTACAAGAGCGGTTATTATGCTATGGTGAAAGCACGTTTAGGGTTATCGCAAACCTAATATAATCATCTCGAAGAGCTACTTTTACTACTTCTAATTAGATTTAATACAGACAAGCGGATCCGTAATCGGCTTTGGGAAAATTTCTGAAAACTTTAGAAGAGACTTATTATCTATGATTATAGTCCTATAACTTAATTTTGTCACCTTCGGCGCGATCCTATTGTTTCCTGTTCATCGTTTAGTTTTAAGACTAGTTATTACATATGCTCTGATGAAAGCACTTTAAGAATCTACTCATAATTCAGGCTTTTTTTCCAAGGGTTGGTTTTTCAGTAAATTTCATCATAAAAGGAGAATACTTCTTAAGATAGTTAATTGCTAATTTTAAGTAGATTTCCTTTCAATTATTTTTCCTGATTAAAAATCCTTCCATGCCACCTTTTCGAAACATCAACCTAACATATTGATTTCTTCTGCTTTTTATTATCTTAAAATATGTGTTCAGCTGTCATTTAGTTTTATTGCTTTAATGTAATTGTTTAGAATTAAGGTTGAGCTATCAAATAGATATGAAAAAGAGTTTTATCTCATTGCAAAATGCTTCCGTTCAATAAAGTATGTTGCCTATATGGACTGTCACCAATATCTTTCCAATTCATTCTCTTGCTATCGTCATGTCGGCGAGCGGCGCTGAATACTTACTTAGATGGTGGTGTAGTAGAGGAACTGTGCAGATGGCTTTGACTTCTCAACAGGTTATAATCGGTTCTTGGCATAACACAGTCTAATAACCCTTAAACACCCAAGATTTGATTGTTAATTCTCCCCTCTAGCTGTTACACATTTCCTTGTAAATTATTTAAGAGAATTTGGAGTTAGATCAAAATAACAACTTCTACTTAACATGTTTGAGTATTCTCGTAACCTTATTGCTGAATAATGTATAGATATTACAGGGAGAAGTTACATGTTAATCACTTCTGGGAGTTAAAGGGTTCATAGCGAGCACCGCAACGGGAGCACAGCGGAAATAACAACATGTACACAAAACGTAAGGCGCGATTGCAGTGCATGTGGCAGATAACAATACAACATTGCGAGTACATGCAACAGTGCCATAACTCATTGCGCATTGCGACCAATGAAATGGAGGGCCGTAAGTGCATGAGACAGAAATGACACTTATTCCGAAAAAAAAGACGTTAAAAACTACAGGTCGAATCTTGTATTGAAACCAATAATACGGACGTTTAACGAGGAAAATCACTTGTGACAACAGTTTATTCAGTTCTTAGCTTGATCATGATCTTATTATCATATAACGAAATTACGAAACTCTACTCTCCATTTCATATTTAACCTATTTTACCATAGTAACCAAAACTGGTATTTTAATGTATTGGCGTAGATCGAATGAAGTTCAATATTTGTATCGATTTGTTATTGAAGAAAATAACAAGGTATCTTTGACGTTATGATTTTTTAACTGGTGGCATTTTAGCCTAAAATCAACCTTCAAAGATCATGGTTATTATAGTGTGTGACTATGCGAGTAATCTTAATTGTCAAAAACAGAACTTGTTCCTATTTAAGTAAATTAGGCTATCAAAGAAGATTGAAATCTTCGCGCTCACCATGTTTTCCCTTAGCTATCTTTTATAAATATATAAACATCCTCTTGTAGAATGAGATAAAATTCGTTAAATTTCGTACCAAGGTCCAACTTGTGTGGGCAGACGCGGGAGGTCTGCGTATGTATCTCAAAATTAAAAAGACGGATGCAATAAACTCTAGGCCATTAAAGTAGGAAACCTAGGTGCGAATTTACAGCTCTGATATAGAAAACAATACCTATCTTAATTGCAGCAGCGCAGCTTAGGAAATAGAAAACGGAAAAGCAATTAAAGTTTCTGCTTATTTACGCAAGATTGGTTTGGAAACCATTGCATGAAAAGAAATTAGATTTACGAGTATAAACTCAGCTGCTATCTACCATGAAAACCAATGTTTTCAGAAAGACCATTAACACTTATATTTACCTAAAAAAAAACCATGTAATAAATAACAAAAGTGCCGACAAGTAGGTACATATGATGAAAGCGAGTAACAACAAAAATCTATTCAAAAGCTATTGTGGTTTTTATGCATTTTTTGATTTATTGAAATGAAAGGACTTGAAATGGTTAAATGTGAAAGTTTACGAATAAATATGTTCCGAATAACACACACGGGAAAATCAGTAAATTTTCCCGTAACACGTACAAGAGATTACGATGGGCATTGATTTCCATACAAATGCGCGAAGTGCTCTGCATCCTTCTTCAATAACACTTTCGGTTTGTCCAGCTCCACGATTTTTCCGCAGTCAAGCACCATCACGCGATTGTAATCAATAATCGTGCTCAGACGATGAGGAATGGTAATGACAGTGCTGTCTAGGAGACAGTTTCGAACAACTTCCTGAATGAGGCGATCCGTTCTGTACTCTACGGTGGACGACGCCTTGTCTATTACAATAAATTTGTTTTTCTGAAGAAGCGCACGTGCAAAGGAGATGAGCTGGCGCTCACTTGGACCCAGCGTAGCTCTGCAGTCCGCGAGGTCCTGGTACAATTGTTGGAAGGCTCTCGACCTAGGACTTCAATTGACATTTCTCAAGGACTTTCCAGATCTCCCTCTCGGTATGGCTAAGGAATGGATCCACGTTCATGCACAGTGCACCCATAGAGAAGATTGGCTCCTTGGTGATAATTGAAAAGCCAGGCCTACTCCTTTGAGGGTCCAGGTTGTGAGTATTCGTCAATCATTATCTTAGCCAATTGAAACGGTGCATTTATGATAGACGACTTTCCAGCTCCTGGCCGTCCTGCGATGCCAAACCTCTCCCCAGGGTACGCAGCAAAGGAGATTTCTACTAATTCCCATGGACCCATCTCTACTGTAGCTCAAGGAGTTGCTTTCAAAGCTGACTGCGCCATCTTTTGGCCACGGCACCGGAGATTGGATCTCCATGGCGTATCCAGGTTCGGGTACAATCTCGGCATAAGCCAAGTTGCGATAAACAGCGCTCACGCTGATGATGATGACACCATTTTGCAACACATCATGCAACAACTAAAGGGTGTAGATCAGAGACAGAATGGTGCTGCCTGAAAACAGTTTCAAAAGAGAGTTAGTCTTTTATTAACAAAATCCCTTAAATATGGCGCATAGTCTACGTGACTTGTCTCCTCGTTCAATCTCCGCGATCCATGTTTAAACAGAATACGAGAGAGATGAGAAAAATAGTATTCTAAATGATAACCTATAACTAACTATTAAATTTACCTTATTATTACCGTCGCCTCTCAATGTATACCACGCAATTTGAAGCGCACGTTTCCCCTGTTAGATGCTTGTCACAATTACTAATTACAGAGAGCTGTTCATGGCGGAGACAAAATAGTTTAGATTATCAACTGTTCAACAGTAATTGCCGCCGAAGCGACATACAACGGTCAAGTTGTTGGATTTTCAAAAAGATCTGCCTACGAACTTTCGCAGCTTTGATTTATAAAGAGATAAACGGGAATTTAAATGGGAAAAAAGGCTTTTTGATTAATTTTGTTTATTTCCTGTCCTGGGTCCAAAGATCACCTTTTCCCCAGCATTCTTCGTGGATGACCGCTCGATGCGGATTTAACTGCATACAGTGTATAATCTCTCGTTATACGGTAATGACCAGACAAAAGGGCACCATTTCCTATTTCTTTGTGGTGTGCATGTTCGTGATCAGAAAGGCGTTCTTTTAGTTGTCCATTTGCTGTTTTAACTCGACGATTTGAGACTTCACACAGAGGTAGGCCGATTCTTTCCATTTTCTCTTTCTTGTTTTTTTTTTTTTTTAAGCAAGAAAAGAAATCACGTGTAACTTCCATGAGCGAGACTTCCTGAAGTTGCAAATCAAGGTTTGGGGTCCTTGCGAAAATCTCCTACTTCTTAGGAAGTCTAATCCTTAAAATAGCTTTAGTTTTTTTTAATTGTTCTTTTTTTGTGCCAAAAATAGAAGAAAGTAAACGAACAGCATTTAAAGCTTTTGAACGCAAAAATTGTGCAACAGTTTCAGTAAGGTTAATAGGGGCACAATAGTGTAATTGGCATGATTGGTATTTCCGTATTTGGGTTTCGGTGCTTGCTATAGTGGTTGCACTAAGAGTGATCGAGTGTTTCAACCAAGACTTGAAAAGTTTGCTTTTTTTAACCATAAATAAAAGCTTCCTAAGAGACTTACATTCTGCGTGTTGCGTGCCACTAGACAA